GACTAAAATCCCCTCACTCAGACACTGGCTCCACGGGCAGGATAAGAACTGAAATCCACTGGGATGTGGGCCATTCAAGCTAATGCACATCTCCTAGAACACAGTTCACTGCACAAACTCATTAGACATTTAGTTGCTCTCAACAAAAACGCAGGGACGAGGAGTGTTGTGGGTCTCAGAAATCAAACTTTATTTAATCAGATTAAATTCTTCCCCTAAACCACTGCAGCTCGGGCACTCAAAACTTCCAAGTGGATGATTTCCCACTCATGCATGGGTTGGTGACCAAAATAACTACTTGACATTTTTATTTTTTAAAGATTTTATTTATTTATTTGACAGAGAGAGAGAGAGATCACAAGCAGGCAGAGAGGCAGGGGGAAGCAGGCTCCCTGCTGAGCAGAGAGCCTGATGCGGGGCTCGATCCCAGGACCCTGAGATCATGACCTGAGCCGAAGGCAGAGGCTTAACCCACCAAGCCACCCAGGGGCCCCTTGACATTTCTTTTTTAAAGATTTTAATTATTCATTTAAGAGAAGGGGGAGGGGCAGTGAGAGAGAATTTAAAGCAGATCCAATGCGGGGTGTGATCTCAGGACCCTGCAGATCATGACCTGAGCCGAACTCAACCCACTGAGCCCCCCAGGCGCTCCACTTCTTGTTGGTTCTAAGGAAAAAAAAAAAAAAAAAAAGGAAACAAGAAAACAGAGGAACTTGCCTCTGTGGTTTGAGAGGCAAAACCCAAGAACCTCCAGGGGTGCTGCCCTCAAACTTTTGCTGCTCCCACATATCTGAGGATCTTCTGTCTGTGCTTTTGTGATTTTCTGGGGGGTGTCCAAGCTTGATGGGCTAATGCCACAGAGCTACTGGGCAGGGGGTAGGTACAAACTTCAAGGAATGTACCTATCAGGGTTCCGGCTGACGCTGAGAGTCAAGGGTGTCCTTCAGCCACGTGCAAGGATTTGAAACGCCAGCCAAGGTCTCCGAGCAAAGGTGATTTTGTCAGCTTAGCAGGTAAGAATCTTTCAAACTGTGGGGCCCTTCAGGGCAACGTATTTTTACGGAAGAAAAAGTCTGCGACAGACATCTAATAGTTTGGTCGTCCAGCAGCCTCCACCTCTATTTCTGCAAACTGGCCTTTCTCTGGGGTAATCCCCAGTGCCCCACACCCACCCCATCCACATGGTCGCACTATCTCAGTAAAATGCAATCCTGCCCTCAGTTACGACTAGCTGGCCCAGACTGGCCCGATGACCCCAGCTGGGCCCACTGGCATCCTTCCACACAGTATTTGCAAACTGGATCTAAGAAACGCGGCCAAAACAGAGCGTGGACCCGGTTAGCAGCCAGAGTCCAAAAAGTAGGAAAACAAAATGGCAGGGAAAAGAGGAGACAACAGTGGACTTCCCAGGGGCCCCGTCCGCCCTGTTCTAGCCTGTCTCTGCGTATGTCCAGCCCATCAAGATTCTCCTTTCGCAAGAGCTAGTTCAGACGGAGTTACGATTACTAATACAGAGACTCCAGTCAAGAAAACGGAGAAGAGGTCTGAGCCACGGCACCCCTGTTGCTGTGAAATGACATCTTCCAGCTGGTGGTGGGTCCTAAAGAGCCAGACAGTTCCATTCATCCTTGTATCTCCACAGCACTCGACACCTAATGCACAGCCCATAAACATCTGTGGAGTGTGATTGTAAAATATCATCTGATGTTCAAAAAAAAAAAAGGGGGGGACGCCTGGGTGGCTCACTTGGTTAAGCGTCTGCCTTCAGTTCAGTTCGTGATCCCAGGGTCCTGGGATTGAGCCCTACATCGGGCTCTCTGCTCAGGAGGGATCCTGCTTCTCCCTCTGCCTGCCACTCCCCCTGCTTGGGCTCTCTCTGTCTCAAATAAATAAACAAAAAAACCTTAAACACACACACACACACACACACACACACACACACACACACATATAGGGCTTTGGGACACATCTGGTTGAGTATGTGACCATAGCGGGGTTAAATTCTGAGTGATTTTTCAAAAAATGTATGAAACAGGATGCACCTAGAGGGTATTATGCTAAGTGAAATAAGTCAGACAGAGAAAGACAAATACCATATGATTTCACTTCCATGTGGAATCTGAAAAGCAAAACAAATGAACAAACAAACAAAAAACAGAAACAGACCCATAAATACGGAGAACAAAGCGACTGGTTGCTGGGGGATGGGGGGGTAGGGAGGATGAGCAAAATGGGCAAAAGGGAATGGGAGGTGCAGGCTTCCCGCTCTGGAATGAGTAAGTCACAGGGATGAAATGTACAGCAGAGAGAACACAGGCAATGGTATTGTAACAGCATTGTGTAGTGACAGATGGTAGCCACGCTACCAGCGAGCACACCTTAGCAAACAGACTTGAGTCACTGTGTTGCACACCTGAAACTAGTGTAACAGCCTGTGTTAACCCCACTTTGATAAATACCTAAGTAGATAAATAAATAGAATAGATTTTGAGTATCCACCGCACAGACAAGTTACAATGTATAGAAAGCATTTACATGGTGCCTACACAGGAGATCTCCCTATTAACAGTGATGATCTCTGGGTGCCCAGAACTGTGAGTAATTTTTAATTGTTTTGCTAACCCCCACTTTCCATACAAACGCTGAAGGCACCTCCCAGACTCGAATAGGTAACTGACAATTCCTGCATTTTCTGCATCAGAGCAGCGTCTCCCACTGGATTCCTGTTTCCCATTCACTGGCCCCCACCCTGCTGGAGGCTCTCACCCCCTCCCAGCACTCATCGAACATCTCCCACTCCCCACTCTCTCTACAGTCTGCTACCACACTGGTGCTAGTCCCTTATTCCAGCTTTGCTGCTCTTTTCCCACTGCCCTTGTCCCTTGAGAAATTTCTATTGCCTTCAGAGACCTTCCCACACCATCACTGCTTGCATAGGACTAAAATAAAATAAAATAAAAGATTAACCACATTAATCTGTGATTGCACGGGACTCTTTCAAAAAGGGATTAATCACATTCTGCCAGGACTGCTAGTATGTCCCCAGGACACAGATTTGACCTCAGGCCTTCCAATTAAACAGATCAACACAAACCATTCCATAGATAATTCAGGAATGAACTCAGCTTAGGTTACGGCTCAGACCCCACTGCCGCAGGTTAGTAAATCTCTTAAAGGCAACAGACCTAGGGCTCTTTTAAAACAGACCTTGTGACATTCTGTGAAAGGACTTGTCAAGGCCTGTTGCCCTATCTTCCTTATCTTTCTTGCAGCTAAACAGCACACTGACCAAAGATGGCTGTTTATTTTCCTTGTGCTTCAAACAGGCTTAGGGAGAGCTCTGGTCCAAGGCATAATTATAAGGTTGTGACTGTTCTGCAGTACCACCAGGGGGGGGGACCCAGAAAAATACTTTCTCCGGAATGGCACATTGACTCGCAAGCCACCAGAGCAAGTTATAAAGCAGAGCTTCACAACAGGAGTGGCCCTGAGGTTTTCCTGTCTGTTCCAGCATGGGGCTTAACCCAGGATGAGTCTTCCCGCTGCACCCCCACCCCCGTATTTATGCTACATCTAACTTCAGAACAAACATACTAGATGTAGGCTTATCTAACTGAAATTCAGCTCTTTAGCTGTGCAAGGCTGGGGTCAATGTTTATTAATAAATAAAAATGGTTGTCTTGGAATTTAAGTCATTCTGTAAGCAGCTTAGAAAATCTATTCAGGGAGGATTGGAAATCACAATTTCAATGCTAGCTACAGAGTGGGAAAACAGTATCTAATTGATTTTTAAAATGTTAATTTAAGGCTCCTTTTCTAGATTGAATTAAGTCCTACCTTTCAGAACGGATATGCTCCTGAAAAAAAAAAAAGGAGGGATAAACTGAATGTTTCTAAACAATCTCTTAATGTACTAGATGAGTATTTAAAGGGTTTCTGTGATAAGGTTTTGGCAAATTTATTCTTGGGGGGAAAAGCAGCTTTCATATACTAGATTTCCTTAGCGAAGTTTTTACCTGTACTTAGAACCTGCACTAACAGAAAGGAAGGGGCAGATTCCAAAAAGCCAGCGGGTGGCCAGGGGTAGGTGATCAGGGGTCAGCGAGAGCGTAGGAAGAAGGAAGTTTTCCAGTTCTCTGCGGGCCTGCCCTAAGCCCGCGGGAAAGCCGGGGAAGGGCTCAGCGCCGCCTAAACCTTGCCCTTGCCCTGCTTTCGGCGTCGCCTGAAATCGGCTGTCCCGATCCACGCACAACAAATGTTCCTCCCAAGGACTGAGAAAAACTAAGCCCCGTTGTTAGGCGCCCGGACGCTGTCCGAGGCACCCACGCGGGCCTCACCCAGACGGGCAGCGCACCCCCCGTTCCTCTCCCGCGGGCTCGGGGGCTCGGCCCCACCGCGCGGAGGGGATGGGCCGAGCGCCCGCCTTCACAGCCGTCTGGGGCCGAGCCATCCCGCAGTAATCGGATTCCGCACGCGGCGCCTGGGGCGCGGGGGGAGGGGGCGCGGGCTGTTCCAATCCGCTGTCTACACTCGCGCGGACAAAACTGTCCTCTCCGAGGCAGGAAAACACAATCGCACACAGCTCTAAACCCGCCGCCGCAGGGAACGCCTCTCCCCGACCCGGGAGGTCTCTCTCCGGAGACGGGTGAGCGAGCCGCGCCCGCCGCCAGCCACGAGGGAACCCCACGCCGCGCCTCCCGCCGGTTTCCGAGCCAGCTGGGGCCGGACTCGGGGCGGCGGGACTCCGAAAACTGCCTTTTCACGGGGGGGCCTCTGCGGGTGAGGGTCCCACCGCGGACAGAGGGCTGCTAACAGGGGGCACCTGAGAGGTCAGTGCCCCTCTCTCGGCGCTGGCGCCAAAGAGCCAGAAAGCGGCGGGGGGTCGCGGGCACTTCCGGAGCAGGGCGCGGGTCGCGGCGAACTTGCCCAGGACGGCGAGCCCGGACGGAGGAACACCCCCGGCCCCCGGCCCCCGGCCCGGCGCGCCGAGCTCCCCTTACCATCTCCTTGCGGAGCAGGGCCAGCGCGGCGTCCAGGTTGGGCGGCTTGGCCGGCAGCCCCGCGGCCCGGGCCCCGCCGCCGCTCGCGCCCCCGCGGCTCAGCTCGTCCTGGATGCGCGACTTCTGCGCGTACAGCCGCTCCAGGTGCCGCCAGCCGCCCGCCGCGCCGCCGCCCGCCGCCGAGTGCAGCAGCCCGCTCAGGCTCTTGGGCAGCGGGGGCAGCCCGTCCACCCGCAGCCCCCGGGCCGCGTCCGCCGCCCCCTGCGCCGCTCCGGCCCCGCTCATCGCGCCCGCCCGGCCACGCGCTGGCCCGCCGCTACCGCCGCCGCCGCGCCGCTCGGGCCGGAGGCTCTCCCGGCCCGCCCCCTTCCCGGCGGCGCCCCACCCACTTCCCCCCGCCCCGCCCCGCCCTGCATCCCCGCCCGCGCCCGGCCCCTCTGGCGTCCCCCGCTCCGGCCCGCTCACCTCCAGCTCCGCCCATGAGCCCCCAGGTCCCCTGACCACTAAGCCTGTCCCCGCGTCCCGGCCGCCGCCAACCCCGCCCCTTACTCTCGCCCCGCCCCCACCCCTGCTCACTTCCAGCCCTTCCCCCGTGCCCCGCCCCACCTCCACCCCTGCGCCCATCCCGGCACCCCTTGCTCACCTCCAGCTCCTCTGGGGGACTCCCCCCTCACCCGCCCACAGGCCTCCCGGAGCGGATCCCTGGCCCGGCTGCCCCACTCCCGGCGAGATGTGCTTCCCCCGGAGCCCCCCGTCGTATGCAACCCCGACGGCTGGCGGGGGCGCTGGGGACAAAGGCTCCCGCTCCAGACGGGCGGGACGTCGGAGAGGAGGTCAGGCAGTGCTGGCGATCCCGCCCGCGGTCTCCGTCCCCAGAAACGGGCCCCGGCCGGGCGAGGTGGGGGAGGCCGGGCTCCCGCCACAGGATCCCTGCCTCCCCCGAGGGCTGAGGCCCAACCCCTTCTCGTTACATTCCACTCGCCGCCGGGAGGGTTGGGACACCCAGACCCAAGTCACTTATCCCCCCCAGGGCAGGCTGGTGGCCTCGGTCAGTGACAATGCCCAGACCTACCGACAGCAGCCAAGAAGAGCACCGGGTCCACTTTTGGAACTTCGAAACGCAAACAAACCTGTCTTTCAGCCTGGCCTTGAACGCAAGAGTAATTCTAAACAGAAATGTTACAAAAGGAGAGAAAACTTAAGTCTCGGGACACTATCCATCAGCTCTGAGGGACAATAAACACTGACAGCTCACACCTCAGACAGGGAGAGAAAAGGGAGAGAGAAACCGGCCGGACCCCTCTTAGGAAGAATAAAAATGACAGACAGTTATAACCGAATTAGAGAAAGAAAAGTGAGGGAGGAAGGACCCATTGGCAGAGGACAGCCCCACCACATATGAAAAACCAATGCGGAGGGGCGCCTGGGTGGCTCAGTAGGTTAAGCTACTGCCTTTAGCTCAGGTCAGGATCCCAGGGTCCTGGGATGGAGTCTCACAGTGGGCTCCTTGCTTGGCAGGGAGCCTGCCACTCGGTCTGCTTGTGTGCTCTCTCTCTCTCTCTCTGACAAATAAATAAATAAATCTTTAAAAAATAACCCAATGCCGTACGCACAGAGTGGATAACTTGAATGCCCACTGATTACTGACTTTAATTTTCGAGGGGATTGAATTGTTCTAAATACCCAATAAGATCAAATTATAAAGTGTTCTTTTTTTAAAAAAAAGATTTCTTTTTTATTTATTTGACAGAGAGAGAGAGAGTGAGAGCAGGAACACAAGCAGGGAGAGTGGGAGAGAAGCAGGCTCCCCACTGAGCGGGGAGCCCGATGTGGGGCTCCATCCCAGGACCCTGGGATCAGACACTTAAGGACTGAGCCAGCCAGGCGCCCCTATAATAATTATAACGTGTTCTGAGCCCTTCAGACACCCAAAATAAAAGAGGCCTGCATTTGGGGAGGGGTCTTTTTTCCCCTCTAATCCACCCCCTCTCCCAGAGCCCACCCCATGCATAATCAGCTGTGTTTCACATTGGCAAATGTTCTGTGCTGGACCCTGGCCACTGTGTGAGACTGACATGAAGAAGCCCCAAGGCAGGCGTGTGATTTGAGGGCTTCAGAAAGCCTTCCCACCCCACCCACCGCCCAGAATTTTCTACCTCATCAGGGTGCCTCGCCTTGCACTAATTGCCTAGTCACATTTCCGGATTTCAGGTATTCATTCATTAGCCTATTTAAACAGTGGGTGTTTTTGGGAGAGTTACAAATTGCTGTGTGGGGACTCGGGCAGAGGGGATGGGAAATACGTTGATCTTTTGCTCACACCCTGGCGAGAATGCTTTTCATTCCGTGTGTCACATTGCTGTTTGTCCTGCCGTGCCTGGCAGAAATCACTGAGGTTAGCTGATGGGGGGACCCATACACAGCGGTACAGTGAGAAAAGAAATCATTTCAAAGCTTCAGGGCTCCGAATGCATTTTAAAGCACATACTTGAGGGGATTATGGATGGTAAGGAAAGAAGGTTAGGGCTCGCTAAGATAGCAGGTCCCTGGTGCCAGGACATGAGGGATAGTTCCAGTGATGCCAACCCAGTTTTGTTTTGTTTTGTTTTAAGATTTTATTTATTTATATGACAGAGAGAGATCACAAGTAGGCGGAGAGGCAGGCAGAGAGAGAGAGGAAGGGAAGCAGGCTCCCCGCTGAGCAGAGAGCCCTATGCGGGGATCGATTCCAGGACCCCGGGATCATGACCTGAGCCGAAGGCAGATGCTTAACCCACTGAGCCACCCAGGTGCGCCCCCCAACCTGGTTTTAAAGGCAGGCTCTGCGTTCTGGCACATACTAGAAGAGGTAAGCATATGGAACTAGTCCCCCTTACATCAACACGGGTGTGACTAGAAATCACCACAGAATGTCTATGGCGCTAAGACTTTATTTGTATAAACCCAAAAGGCAATTGAGCAAGAGTTCCCCAAATAGTTTAACACCCATGGAAACGTCAGTCAGTGCAGGCTTATTCAAAGGCCAATAAAAGGTACCATTTAAGGTCCGTGCTTGTAAGAGGAATGAAGTAATAAATAACTTCTGAAAATACAGTTAACCTTTGAACAACACAGCGGTCAGGGGCACCCACCACAGTCAAAAATCCATGTAAAACTTTTGACTCCTCCAAAACTTAACTACTACTAGCCTACTGTTGACCGGAGGCCTTACAGATCACATAAACAGTGGATTAATTTGTTTGTACGTTTATGTGTTCTATAGTATATTCTTATAATAAAGCTAGAGGCAAGAAAACGTTATGAAGAAAATGAGGGTCACCTGGGTGGCTCAGTGGGTTAAAGCCTCAGGTCATGATCCCAGAGTCCTGGGATCGATCCCCACATCGGGCTCTCTGCTCGGCAAGAAGCCTGCTTCCTCCTCTCTCTCTGCCTGCCTCTCTGTCTACTTGTGATTTCTTCCAAATAAGTAAATAAAAATCTTAAAAAAAAAAAAAAGAAAATGAGAGAAAGAGAAAATGAGGAAGAGAAAGTACATTTACTATACTGTACTTATTGGGGAGAAAAAGTCTGCACAAAATGGATCTGTGCAGTTCAAACCTCTGTAGTTCAAGGGTGACTGTATGTGCTTTTTGCTTTCATTCAGTTATGAAACAGCAGTATTCTGACCTTGAACCAAAGGGAGATGCACCCATCTCATCTACAGCTATCAACCTTTTTTTTCCTATCTTTTTGTTTTGTTGTTCACAAATTCTTAGAGGTGGGGAAAGGCAGAATTTTGTTGTTGTTGTTAAGATTTTATTTCTACAACAGGGAGAGAGCATAAGCAGGGGGAGCGGCAGGCAGAGGGAGAGGGAGAAGCAAGCTCCCTGCTCAGCTGGGATCCCGTTGTGGGGCTCGATTCCACGACCCTGGGATCATGACCTGAGTCAAAGGCAGACGTTTAACAGGCTGAAACACTCAGGAGGAGTGTTTCCATTAAACTGTAGACTCTTTTATATAGTTGTTTAAGTTGTTGCTTTATCCTGTCAACAATATGTCGACTAAGAAAGAATTCACTGAAAATTCAAGCAAACAGATATTTGTGGGAGCCATGAGAATTGCAATTTGGTAGACACAGTTTCAGGTCGAAACCTGACTTGTGCTCCCAGGAAGACAAAGAGGGAGGCGAGAGTTGTAAAGGGGAAAGTTTACATGTGTAGTTTTCATCTAGGTCCTCCGAGTTAAGGAGGGATTGAAGTAAGGTTAACTGGGATTGGTTGGGTCAATATCCAAATGAGGGGCAGAAGTTGGTTAAACTGAATCTGCTCCTTTCCAAGGGAAGGGAGCAGAGGATCTGGTTACCCTGCGTTGTGTCCAGGCTGAGGACTTGACGCTGGCTTGAAAGTTCAAAAAGTTTGCAGTTCCTCTGATGAGGTTCTATATAAATTCCTCCTCGTGGCCTCCCTGTCCTAACATCATAGAGACTGTCTTAGCTAGGCTTGCTTGCCCCATTATGTGATCTCCTTTTCCAAATATTTAAATTTACATAGTTAGGAATAAGGGCACAACTTTTTTTTTTTAAGGAAGTTTATTGAGGGAGGAGAGGATATTTGGGGTTTTTTCGGTGAAGTTTTTATTTAAATTCCACTTAGTTAATATACAGTGTAACACTAGACTTGGGTGCACAGTCTAGTGGTTCAGCACTAACAAATATTACCAGGGGCTCATCACAAGTGCACCCCTTAATCCCCATCACCTTAATGCCCACCACCTATCCCCCCCACCGCTCCTCCCGGGGATCATCAGTCTCTTCTCTATAATTAAGAGTCCATTTCTTGGTTTGCCTCTCTCTCTTTCTCTCTTTCTCTTTTCTCTTTCTTTCTTTTTTTTAAAGATTTATTTATTTATTTATTTATTTGACAGACAGAGATCACAAGTAGGCAGAGAGGCAGGCAGAGAGAGAAGGAGAAGCAGGCTCACTGCTGAGCAGAGCCCGATGAGGCGCTTGATCCCAGGACTCTGAGATCATGACCTGAGCTGAAGGCAGAGGCTTTAACCCACTGAGCCACCCAGGTGCCCCTCTCTCTCTTTTTTTCTATGATCATTTGTTTTGTTTCTTAAATTTCACATAGAAGGGAAACCATAGGGTATTTGTCTTTCTCTGACTTATTTCACTTAGCATAATATCATCTAGCTCCATCCACATCGTTGTAAATGGGAAGATTTCGTTCTTCTTATGACTGAGTAACATTCCATTACACACACACGCACACACACACACACATATACACCACATCTTCTTTATCCATTCATTAGCTGA